TGTGTGGTACTGGCGATCATCTAGTGGATCGTCGTGGTGGTGGTGGTGGTGGTTAGTGCTACTATTATGCATGATCTTATTATTGTGTATTATTGGATGTATTATTATGTACTATTGTGGACTATTTATCATGTCATGATGTATTATTATGTATTATTGTGGACTATTTACCATGTCTGGTTGTATTATGTTACTATTATTGTCATGTATGGTGACATTGTCTAAAATGAAAACTTGAACTATAAAAGCAACAACAACGCGGTGCATGGCTTCGAAAGTTCAAAAATCCAATTGGCACACTCGATCGTTCAAACAATAACAACATCAAACAATAACAACTACTTCGAAAAATAAAAACTATTACATTTGATAAATTTACCACGTCTATTACCATTACTTCCTCTTCTACCAACTCTCGCACGTCTACCACTTCCTCTTCGCTGGCTCCCACTGCCACTTGCTCCTCCACCAGAAGTTGATGCATCATGTCCAGCTACTTCCTCTCTTGGCCAATCCATCTCGTTGTGAATTCTTGTTGTTCGTGGCCTCCCTGACTTCCTAATCATGTGCACATTAGGATGGAGAGTAGAGCCATCGTGCTTCTTCCACCTCTTAGGTTCACCAAGAGGTGTGAAACTTCTCCCATAACAAGCCAATATTGTTGAGCTTATAGATATTGTTTATAAACCTATACGGGTTAGCCCCCATTCGGTCGCAAGCTGAAATGGCATGAGAGCAAGAAATTTTATTTCCATGGAATTTCCCACTAGTGCAAAATCCCGCCCGATTGTGGTCGTCGAAATGCACTGTGAGTGTGTTCGAACCCGTCATGTTGAAATTGTTGGGAGGAGTCTGAACTACATAGATGCTCTGACGTCGATCAACTCCTGTCACGAAATGTCCAACTGCCTTTTGTGCCTACGACTTCATCAGTTCTTTGCATGGTTTCGTGTACTGTGACTTCCCACTTCTGATTTGTGCTTCTGTCACCAACCTCATCTTATCGATTTCTCCTATATCGCCAATAAGCATGTTGCACAAGAGAAGCTATAGGAAGTGAACGATTACCTTTGAAAACACTATTAATGCTCTCTGCCATGTTGGATGTCAGCATAGACTATCGACGCCCACCAATATAGTTATCATGTGCTAAGCTCCAACGAAGTTGATTTTGATCCACCCAGTTATCACAAGAAATATTTCTATCAGCGGCCATCTTCTTAAATTGCTCAACTTGACTATCGAACTTCTCCAAACGTTTTTTCGGGCTAACAAAATAAGTAACCACACGAGTTAGATAAATTAATGACAATATTAAATGAAAATAACAATAACGATGAAGAAGGCTTACCCACTCGAAACAATTGGTTATACATAATTTTTCTTTTTGTCTTCCTTTGCAAGTTGCTTGCATAGTATCGCATGCACCATCTCCACTCCCAACCTCTTCCGATGTCACTCATGGCTTCACAGAGTCCCGCATGTCTATCTGAGATGATGCGGACATCGTTTAGATTGGTCAAATCTTGAAAGTGTGTTATGAACCATGGCCAACAATCAGTATTCTCGCTCTCCACTATGGCAAATGAATAGAACTCATTTATACTTTCCAGTGATCATATCACTATCTTGTACTGCTTCGTCTTTACGCTGTATTCTCGGGATTAGATTCTCACAAAATTGATGATATGTCACCCTGCATGGAACTGTCAATTGAAAGTTTCTACCATCAACGAAATGGATGCCCAAATTGTCCTCTACTTTCTCTGATTTCTACCGAACGACTAGTTCAGATCTTCTAAAATCACTACATAACAAACAAATTCACTAATTACTAACTAAAGAAAATTATAATAGCATTTTAATAATATAATTAAGAAAATAAACGTGTCTCTTATCTAGCCATTTTTGTAGCAACCAGCAAAACTCCTCCCTCTCGTTTAGCTTCATATCAGTTTTTGGTGTGGTGAGGATACTGAAAGGAAGGGAATCATCAACTGATAAATATGCTGGAGTGGAGTGGGAAAGGCTGCGAGTCCGCATAAGACTGGTGCGGGAACGTTGGTCAAAATTTGGGGAATCTGTAAGCGAAATAAAGAAAAACGCAACGGAATTAAGCCAGTCTCGCGCAGGTCCGCTGGTCAATATGTTAAGAGAATCTGTCAGCGAGCTTTAAAACGAAGAAAGCGGCACCGCACCAGTACCACGCGAGCTCGCACTTTTTACATAAAAAAACATAAATAGCGAATCCGCTTTAGTCTAATGCGAACACGCACTCCTTCCCAAAAAACACAATATTTGTGTCAATAAATTTAAAACCACCACATTGGTGATAAATTAAAAAATAACATAATATTTTAGGAATTTACCCTTAAAAGTTGCCATAAAAATGTAAAGTGGGTGGAATCAATAGCATACTTATATTACTGATTGATTTCGATGAAACTATTTTAAAAAATCATACTCACTCCAAAAGTCCAAAACCGTTACTTCTTTTCTTTAAAACATAAAAATGTAAAGTGGGTGGAATCAACAACCTAATTAAAACCATTGGCTTAGTTTGGCCCTGCTGTAGCTTTTGCAGAAGCAGCTTCTGGCTGGAGCTTTTAGATAAGTACTTTTCAAAAAAAGCAGTTGAGTGTTTGGCTGTAAAAATATTAAAAGTGTTTTTTAATATGAGAGATTGTGTAAAATGACTATAAAGGACTTATAATATAAAATATGAATAAAAATTCTAAACAATAAAAAGAATTCAAAATTGAACTTATTAGATTTCTTTTATATTAAATAATATGATTTTATAATTTATTTTATTTTTAAAATGATATAAATGAAGGAAAATTATATTTTCTGAAATAAAATTAAAATATGGTAAGGATAATCTTGTATTTTCAAAACAGCTTTTCGCAGAAGCTCCAAATCGGAGCTTCTGCTTTTATGTTATACAAAAGCGCTTTTCGGCTTTTCAAAAGCCGAGCTTTTATAGGTGTTTGGCCCTGCTTCAGCTTTTGAAGTCGAAAAGCACTTCTAAAAAGAGCCAAACATAGGGAATATGATCGGCTGACTGTACAAATAGACGGCCATTCATTACCCGACGAAAAAAGCATCGAAGATTAGAAGTGGGAAAATATATCGAAGGGTTATCTGTATAATATGCCCCTCTACTACGCAGTTTTATCAAACATGCTCCTCTACTATATTTTACATCAAACATGCCCCTATACTTTATAAAAACGATCAAACATGCCCTTCTGTTAAAATTTGCATTCAAAACCATCAACCATGGTCAAACCTTAGTTTGGGCGACACCTATGTCTAAAATATTCCTAATAATTTTACTTTAGAATTGTTTTGTTTCTTTTGTATAGCCAAATACCTCTGATAATTTCACTTTAACGAGACATAGAGAAATAAATGAGGAAAAAGTGACATTTCACCCCCCAATTTTTCGATGTCGGGTCATGTGAATCTCGGTTCAACCGTGGTTGACCATTTTTAATGGAAATTTTAACATAAGGACATGTTTGATAATTTTTCCAAAGTATAAGGGCATGTTTGATGTAAAAAATAGTAGAGGGGCATGTTTGATAAAACTACATAGTAGAGGGGCATTTTATACCTATAACCGTATATCGAAATAACGGAACAAAAAGTGGGGAAACGACAAAACTTGTAGCGAAGCACAAAACTAAAAAGAGCTCAAGCTAATCTTCGTCGTCACAGGGTTGGAAGTTGGGTAATAGTGTTTATGTCGAATACCGGCTTATTTATTAGGAATTGGAATAAAATTTATTTTTTAGTGTTATTCGGTATTCGGAATTACGGGATTGAGATTGGGATCGGTATATATCGAATTATCAAAAATTTAAAATTAATGAAATATAACACACAACCTTTGGTCATTACTCACTCTTTCACAACTTAGAAGCCCCCATCCAACTAAATTTTGACTTTCCAATTTAAGTATGTCTCGTCACTCACCTAATCTCTTATTATTTTCATAACACCAAAAAACAAACACTAGTATTAGTCGTCTCTCAGCCTCCAATTCATCAAATTAAAGATTACCAATGACAAGAATTTGAAATGTCACATCTTCTCCATTCTCCTATCCATATCCTAGCTCTAGACAAACTCAAGACTCTTTGCTTAGTCTCTTTACCGTAAATTAAACAATAAAATCTAATTTATATTTAATTGTTAATTGCAAATGTAATTAATTTCATATTAAATAATACCGATTGGGATGCCGAAATATTTAGGAATTGGGATTGTGATTTGATTTTAGGGTGTAATTCGGTATTCGCGATTTCGATATTTTGTATTGGAATACGGATACCTTACTGATTTCCACCCCTAACATCTCATCAACCACTAATCATAATTATTAATAGGAAAATTACGATTGAGTACCTATAATTTTTAAATTTTATAATTTGGTATCTAAAATTTATTTTTATACGAAATGTCATTAGAAAATTACTTTTTGGTACTTAAAATTTTTCTTAATGGCAGTTTAGTACTTAAACTTTTCAAAATTGACATAATGATCCAAAGCATGGATGTCATTTGGATTCATAGATCAGTCCACCAATCCAATTGATTCAACCCATGAATCTTTCAATCCATTTAATTCATAGATTCACCTATGCTCCAATTCATGAATTCAATTCATTTGCCGGTTTGAGGAAAAATACATAAAAACAACAGAAAAAGGATGGAAACGACAAAACTTGGTAGCGAAGCACAAAACTAAGAAGAGCAAAAGCGAATCTTGGTCGTCACATCTCATCCACCACTAATCTTAATTATGAATTAGTGGAAGCTAGCTAATTTGTTCTCTTCCGGCATGTGACCTGCCAACGGCTATTTTTCTGCTGTATTTAAATAAACCAACGTGCTATCGGCTGGTGCCCTTAATCAAAATTCCTTTTTTCTTTTTTCTTTTTTGGTAGGACGTTCCATTTTTCTTTATATATAGAGGACGATCAATACATAACCTAACTACCAATTTGCTATATTAAGTCAACGCTTATGAGGTCAAGCTCAGCCAAAAAAAAAAAAAAAAACGCACACACACAGAACACAATGAGCCCAGCGGCGGCCGCAGCCTCTTTCCCGGTGATCGACTTTTCTCCTTTCTTCACCACCGGCGGCGGAGAAAATGAGGTCGAGAAAGAGGAGGTGATCAACAGCATCCGGGAAGCTTGCTCCGACTACGGCTTCTTCGTGGCCGTCAACCACGGCATCCCGACGGAGGCCATGGACCTGTCCTTGGAAATGGCACGGGAATTTTTCGATCTCCCTTCGGAGGAGAAGCTCAAGTGTACCCCGTCGTCGGACACGCCGGTCACCACCGGCTACGCCAAGCAGCCCGACCACTCGCCCAACAAGAACGAGTACTTCTTGATGTTCGAACCTGCCTCCGCTTTCAACGTCTACCCCACAAGCCCCGCTCCTTTCAGGTACTATTTTTTCTTCTTCTTCCATGGCTGATTATACAGATTTTGATAGACTAATGATAAATTACGTGGAATCATGTAATGTGGTTCTAGTCTGTGGCGGTCAAGCCCAATACCCAGCTATATATACTGTAGAGCACTCTGCAAGGATGGGTGACTTATCGCTGGAAGTTATATCTTGATATGCATCGATCTCAATAAAAAATTGTGAGAGATAGACCTAAAGCGAACAATATATATATCTTGGTCGGAAAAAAAATGTTAGGGATGGTACAGATATTACACTTGGTCAAATAATACTGAATATGGTCTGTAGGGGAGCAGTGGATGAGATCTACGGGGGATTGTTGGCGATGGCGAGGTTGATCGAGAGCCTAATGAACAGGTGCTTGGGAGTGCCTGAAGGTTTGATGGAAAAGTTCAACGACGACCGGCAGTGGGATCTGATGACGGCGTTCCGCTACTTTGCGGCGGCGGAGTTGGAGACGCCGGACAAGGACAAGAAGACGGGCTTGTACGGTCACAAGGACTTGAACTTGATGACTTTAGTGCTGCAAGACCAAGTCGGAGGGCTGGAGTTTCAGAAGGACGGCGAGTGGATTCCGATCACTCCAATCCCTCATTCCCTTGTGGTCAACGTTGGTGACATCATCCAGGTAATTAAACTAATTAATTATTACATACTCATCACGCTCATCTCCCTCTTTATATTTTCCTTTTTATTAGGATAGGTGTAAAAAACAATCATGGATACCCGTTCGAATCTTACCTAATCAGGTGGGTAAAATTCGAACCCAAAAACCTTTTTTATTAGTATGGATAAAGCTCGAATCTGAATAGTGTGGATAGTGATTTAGCATGGTTTTCTTACTATCCAAACTCGAACCCGACAGGATATATGCAAGCATATATATTTTGTTTAAAATGATCATTATGTTTCTCAACATGTTTGATATTTTTCATGCATATATAATAATTTCATAAAGATTGTATTGTTTTTAACTAGTTTTCTTCATATTAGTAATTCAGTGTTCAGTGTTGTAATTTGTCATTTATGTAATGTTAGTATCTGTATAATTGTTAAGAGAAATTATAATTCATGGATAATCATGAATATCAGAAATCCGATCGGATATCGATATAGTTTTGACTTTTGATATTCTACACGATTGTGATATGGATATGGGTAAAAGCTGAACTCTGTCTATTAGCATAATAGATATGTACTATCTGACCCCGTTGACGGCCTTGCTTTTGACACCCGGTAACATATCAGATTTATTAGAACCAAGTAGTTATATATCAACAGTTTTTTTTGTGTTTGAATTTCTTGCCTTCAAAAATGGATCTTGTGTTACTTATTCATATATTAATTATTATTTTTTTCAAACTAAAGTCAATCCATAAGTTGAATTTTACATGACGAAACTCGTTGATTCCAACGACTCGGATTGTCATCATGTATATGCGCGGTATATTGCAGGTACTGAGCAACAACAAATTCAAGAGCGTAAACCACAAGGTGAATTCGCCGCAGGGAAGAGACCGGCACTCGTTTGCGTTCGCCTACCTCATCGGATTCGAGAAAATGTTGGAGCCACTGGCGGAGGTGATGAAAGAGAGCAAGGAGGAGCCCAAATTCAGCAAGTTCCGTTTCAAAGACTACTTCCAGCTCCGAGTAGCTGACCTCTTCAACCCTCCAGCCAATTTGGACGATGCCGTTACCATTAACCACTATGCCATCCCTCCCACCGTCGCCGCCGCTGCTCCGGCCAACTGATCAAGGGTCGGGGTTACTAGATTGGCCGCCGCATGACACCAGTGTCCTCTCCTTTACCACCTTGATCTCTTCCTGTTTAGGGTCTAAGAGAATAATAATGTTTCGTCTCGGTCATGATCATGTCGAATATATTTATATATTGCCTACCTCATCGGATTCGAGAAAATTAGTTGTGTATAGTGGTCTCAATTCGGGTTTGGTTTTTCGGGTTTACTCGAAACTGACTCGTTTATATACATTTTCGGTTTTCGGGTTTGGGTTCATTTTGGGTTTCGGGTTTTTCGGTTTCGAGTTTGGTTTTGCTTATCGGTTTTTCGGGTTCCGACTAAAAACCTCCAATGAATAGAACTCAGCCCGTATTTTTAGGCGTTCGGGTTTTTGGGTTTCGGTTTTGCTTCAACCGAACCGAACCCGATAAGGAATTTTCGGGTTTCGGGTAACCGGAACCCGCAAGTACTTATCGGGTTCGGTTTTAATGATTTTCGGTTTCAGGTTTTTGGGTTTTTTCGAGTTTCGGTTTGGTAACCGAACCCGACCCGAACTGACACCCCTAGTTGTGTACGATATTTTGCATGTACTGATATCGTACGTGAATGAGGCGTAGCTTAGATAAGCTCTAACCCGATTAACCTACAACCTAATTAACTCACAATTCAATAAAATCTTAAACTCGACTATCTCGCAACCTAATTGAACCCAATTTTGAACCGCGGGGCATTGACATCTCCTGAGATAAAAGACATACTTTGATGTTGAGCGTGCAAGGTCGAGAGGAGTGTTTATGGTATATAGCATTGGTGCTATTGGTTTTTGCTTTTATAGTATAATTTGAAGTTGTATCTTTACGTTATGGTACAATTTCATATTGTACATATACAATTTTGTACAAATTCTTTTATGGTACAACTTGATCTTGTACTTTTATGTGATCATAAGTGTACAAGTTCCTTTATGTACAACCTAAACTTATACATTTAAATTATGGTACAACTTCAAGTTGTACATTAAAGCCCATGCTTTATAGCATAGTGCTCTAACTATAAGGAGGTTAGTTAAGATAGTATAGAGCATAGATCATCATATCAAGAATCTAGATTCAGTTTGTTTGAACGCAAATAGTTTTGAATTAGAGATTTGACCACCTGATCAGATTACAATAAGTTGCAAAGGTGACTGTGATGATATTTCATTGAGTGAAGATATCCTTCTTGAATTCTCCGGCCAAACATCAGAAAGAATGGCGGCTAGTAGTCCCCCGCCTCCTTCAACATTTAGATTTAATTATGAGAAGTTGTTGCAGTTTTTCTAATGTGGATTAGTTTCTAAAGTGTTTTGAAAACTAGCTAATTCCCTTATACATGTAAACATGTAGGTACTGAGCAATAGCAAATTCAAGAGCTCACTCCATAAGGTGAATTCGCCATAGGGAAAGAGACCGATACTCTTATGCATTCGCTTATCTCATCGGAACCTATAAATGGGTGGGGCCGCTGGCGTGTAAGGTTTATCAACCGTGAGATTTTATTATTGGCATAGGGTATATTTATACTCATAGTATTACATGATACGGACTGGAACAAGGAGACTAAACACAATTAGGAGAAGTAAATTGTATACAAGTGTTACAAGGATTACAAGAACTAAACGGAGACAAAGACTTGTCCCTAATACGCCCCCGCAAGATGGAGGCGGCGTCAGCTAGCCAGATTTTGGAACACAACAAGCGGAAGCACGTAGTAGGGAGACCTTTAGTGAGCGCATCGGCAAGCTTGAAGTTGTTTAGATTGGACCAGCTGACGAACAAAATGGTAGTCAAGGGACTAAGTCTCAGGTGTGATTTGAGCGTAAAGCATCAAATTCCTCATGCATAGGACCAGTAAGAGAGAGGTAAGTTAGCATGATGCAAAAGTGACAATCTTGTTTCAACAATATGACGATGCTTCCTTTCAGACAGACCATTATGCTCAGGAGTGTATGGCAGGGTGAGAAGATGAGTGATTCCACTGGACTCTAAGGACTGTTTGAGTTTTTTAAATTCACCACCGCCATCTGTATAGAAGCGCTTGATGCGGGTAGAAAAATAATTTTCGACCAGTTTTTGAAAAGCACTAAATGTAGAAAGTGCATCAGATTTGTGACGCAGAGGGTATATCCAGGTATAGTGAGTAAAATGATCAACTATAACTAGATAATACGAAAACCCATCAACATAAGTGACAGGAGCAGGGCCCCATACATGTGAAAATATTAACTCCAAAGGACGAGTACTAGACAAACTGGAATCAGAAAACGGTAGTTTATGACTCTTACTAGACAAACATGACGTACAGGACGACAAAGTGGGCTTAGGGAACACTTGAATAGAATGAGTGTGGATTAAGCGAGACAAAGACTTGGAGGATGGATGACCAAAACGACAATGCCAGCACTCTACGAAGTTCCGAGTAGTAACCAGCGCCAACTGCACAGCCCGCAATGCGCCTGGAAGCTCATATGTGTCGCCTTTATTCGCTCTGGTCAGTAGTGGCAGCCCCGTGCTTAGGTCCTTCAAAACAAAAGAATCATCAAAGAATTCAACCGAAACCGGGTTAGTACGACATAGTTTAGCCACCGAGATTAAACGTTTCTTGAGAGCTGGAACACAAAGAATATCTCGCAAGGTAAGAGCCGTCGAAGAAGGCAAATGAAGAGAAGATGAGCCAATGTGGGTGATATGCAAACCCTTACCGTCGCCGAGATAAACCTCGTACGATCCGTTATAGTCAGAATAATTTCCAAGATTTCCTAGGTCGGGAGTGATATGATGAGTGGCAGTGCTGTCCATTAACCATGGATCCGAACGAGGAGCAGAGGATGAGGAGGCACCAGTAGTGTGATTGGTTTGGGCTGGACGCTTGATGACTCGATATTTGCACATGTTTTCCCTTTTGTTTCTTGATCGTTTAAGCTTGCATTATCGCTTCTTTGGCCTATTTTACGCTAGGTTGTGTTCCTTTGTCACATTTCAGGTCCTGGCACATAAAGTGAAGCGTAGGCGCAAGTTTCAAGTCAATCGGAGATCAATTGGCGACTCGAGAGAAGAAACTCGGGTATGGCTTGAAGAATAATGGATTTCTACCTCAGTTTGTGACCATATAATCATGTAATCTTGTCATTAGAAGAAAGAGGACGAGACAGCACCAACGTCTGGGATCAAACGACACCTGATTTGGAGTCCGAACGAGGGAGAAACGAAGAATCAAAGATAGGGGAAAATTGGTTTCGGGCTTCTCTGAGAAACAGAAGGGGGCCCTATCGTGACGCTAAAATCCCCGGTAGAGGATTTTTGGCCTTGACAGGGGATTTTCCCCTGTCCCCAACGGTGCGTTTTAAAGATACCCGGTCTCCACCTAAAATACCCAACCGGGTATTATGACCGGGGATCGCGAACGCAGGCTGTTAAAAGCCTGTTTTGTGGGTTTCTGGAGGGGAGAGCTGGGTTTTGGATCCCAAACACCCAAGGGACGAACCAAAGAGAGAGAGTGCGATTTGAGGGCATTCTTGGAGTGGAATTGGAGGATTTCTTTGCCTTGGAAGCTCGAGGAACAAGCCCGGACTTGAAGACTGATCATCTAAAGATTCTTACTGCAGTCTCTCTCTTCTCTATGGAGTAACTTCCCTTCACTTAGGTTTTGAGGAACCCTAACTATGTTTGTTTGATTGGATGATTGTATGAGTACTCTGACTTGATAATCTTGAGTTCATATTCAATCTATGCATGTTTTCATGATTCAATTCTGCTTTAGTCGAGATTATTGATTCTGCTTTGATCCTATGAGAGCGACTACCTGATTAGGTCAATAGAGCACCATAGATTGATAGTAGTGGATCGATTGCTTTAGTCGAGGGTTGGTTCACTGCTTTGTATCGATTGAGAACCTCTTTTGATAGAGGGATTCTAGTTCAATACGCCTTGATCGGTTGTTCTAGAGAAGGATACGTCCCTCTAGGCAATTGACTCAAGAGGGCCTTGTTCCTTTAGTGGAGACTCAAGGTCTAGTCGAGGATTCTCCGCATTGTAAATGAAAGTGAAACAAGTTAGAAATCATCAATCGTTAGTCTGGCTAGTGGCTAGGGGGAATCATACCTAAGTGAGTTCCCAACCTGTAATTAGATTAACTTTAACTGTAGTTTGCTAGAGTAGTTTTGGTTCTTCCTTATTAATCTGGTTTGCTAAATAATGAACTGAAGCTGAGTAATAGTAACTCTAGAGACCCGTGGATTCGATATTTATTACTTGAGCCACTATACTGCAGAGCCTTCCATTGGTTACACTTAGCCATTGTTAGGAGTTGTGTCGTAGCGAGTCAACGCTGCTCAGGAAACAATTGAAAGCATTGACGAGTGGTGTGGCCAGGACGCTCGCAGTAATGGCAGTAAATGCGCGGGCGACGTTGATCCCCACCAGAGATAGAGGAAGAGTTCGATCAAGAGGAGGGGTGAGGAGCGGAGCCAGAAGATGGAGCGGGTCCAGAAGATGGAGAGGGGCACCTGTTTGAGAGCGACCACCACCACGGCCAAACGAGCCACCTCGTCGACCACAATAGGTCCCGCGGCCACGTTGCGTGGCAAAGATAGTAGCTGGCTAACGGGTGACCTTGAGGTCAGCTTCAAGAGAGATTAGATGGTCTAGCAGATCCTCGAGAGTGGGTGGGACTTCGCGAGCACGGATACCGGCAGCAGCCATCTCAGGTGAAATCGAACGAAGAGACTTAATGAAAGTAACCACGTCTCGGTCTCCCTTTTTCTCAGCAAGCAGTCAATCCCAGAGTGTCATGACATGAGAGCGGGAGGTATTCACATAGAGGCAAAGGAGAGAAAGCCAGGCTTCGGCAGCAATAGCAGAAGCACTAATGAACGGAAGGACAACTTCCGTGACAGACGCTAGGATGCCATTAAGGAGGAGCTGATCTTGTCGAAACCATTGAACGTAAGCAGGGTTCTGAGTTTCAGCAACATCAACAGTAATGGGAGCGGCAAGAGGCAAGACAGTACCATAGAGATAGCTGATGAGGTCGAGGCCATGAAGCAGCGAAAAAAGCTGGGCGCGCCATGATGGGAAGTTGGCGGCAATGAGCTTGAGCAGAAGAGATGCGGCTGGGTTGAACGTGACTAGTGCAGGCTCAGCTATAGTTGTCCCGGAAGAGATAGAACTGTCATACATGGAGGCGAACAAGAGACGAAGCAACAAATACCACAGTGATTTTAGGGTTGTGGATCGAAGGTTGTTAAGCAAGAGGCTCTGATACCATGTAAGGTTTATCAACCGTGAGATTATATTATTGACATAGGTTATATTTATACCCATAGTATTACAT